AGGGAGGAAGAAATGAGAGTGGATCTAGATGGGGTTGATTGAAGTTGAAAGTAGGGTTGTTGGGTGAAGGGTCATGGTTGAGAAGTGAAGGAAAGGCAAGAGGAAAGCAAGGGAAAGGGTTGAGATTGAAGCTTGAAGATGCCATTTTTTTTTCTATCTTTTTGTTTGGATTTTGGAAGTGATATGAAACTCAAAGAACTCTCTACCCATTAAAAATGCCATTTTTTGGTATCTTTTTGTTTGGATTGGGCCCTCAAACGTGGGAGATTGCCACTTGATATGCCAACAAAGGAAGAACCTTCAAGAAACTCAGTTATAGTTCTAAATTGGTAGGTTTTAGCTTTGAAAATTCATTTAAAAATCCATTAGTTCATACAAATTTCGTAACCCCATAAGAGAAAGATTTGAACTTTTCGCTTTTTTAACGTTTGTTATAACTAAGTAGAACTTTAATGGTGCTCGTGATCTTTAGGAAAATCGTTAATCTTTAATCACCAAGAATCCTTAGTAGTAGTTTAATTTGGGCCGAAAGTTTAGGAGATTAGTTGTGTTTTATGTAAAATACTTATCAGATGTATGTTATTTTCAAAGCAACAAATAGAATTGAAAAGTATAAGTGTAAGTTCTTCGGTTTAAAAGCTCTCTCCCTTCAAGTTGTTCTTCTATTTCAGTTATTTGTTTCGACACATTTCGATCGCGGATCATTCAAAAGAAAAAAAAAAAGAATTTTTAGTGTGCCCAACATAATAAGATAATAATGTCATGTTTAAAGACTAAAGGGAGCCCTATAAATTTGTGGCATTCCCCTTTAGATTAGGGTTACTCACACGAATGAAGAGGTACAAAAAAAAAAATTTCTGAAAGGTATATATGATTTCGTGAAATTTTTATCGAGGATTCAAAACAGTTTATAACTCAACTCAACTTAACTCAATCCATATAATTCAGGCTAATAAATGAAAATTTTATGAGCTAATTTAGTTCATAAATTTTTAAATTTGGATATAATGTTTGTACATATGTTTTAAGTAAAATTTGGAAAAATAACTCCAACAACTCGAGCCAATCGAACCCATATATTTTATACTTAAGTTAGGTTGGGTTTTGTTCGGTTCATTACTTAACAAATAGCGTTTGAATTGTAAATTTTTACCACCCGAATGGTTAGATTGGATCTAAGAAGATTCTAACCTGATCCAACTCAATCCATGAACTCCGTTAAAATTTACCTAAAAAACGTAAATCCTTAATGTCGGGATTTGACATCGGTGTATATGTATAATAAGAAGGCAATGATGTTTAAAAGACAATGAATTACGTGTTAAAAGGGCAACATGATGCGTTGTCTTTGCTTTTATGTGTTGACAAGAAAGTTCCTAGGACACTCACTGCATGTACAACCTGCTTAACCTTGACCTCTTATGGCTCTCTAACCATTTTTCTCTCTCCTCTCTCTCTCTCTCTAGCATTAATAAAGCTTCTGCTCTTCTCTCTTGTGCCCCTCTGTCATACTCTCTCCGCTCGACAAGTGTCGCCCGACAATGTGGTAAAGGCCCATGTCTAACTGATGTATTATTGACGATTAGAAACAAATCTTTTAATAGTTAGAATTGAATGATCTTACCGTTCTATTTTCCTCGACGTTACTTGAAGAAACTTGTTTTTTTTTGTCGATCGAGGTCGACATTATTGAATGATTGCCCAAGTTTTGTCATTAGAGTTGCATGTATAGCTTAGACTCAATGTTTGCGTTACTTTTGGTTTTGTCTTGATCGATCATAATATAGCTGTGTGATGTGGCATTCAAAGAAAGAATTGATTCGCAAAAGGAAATGAAAGTTACTATCTATACCAACAAGATGTGTCTTCCTTTTCAGTGGTTCAATCATAGAAACTTAATGGTTAAACGTGCTTTTACTTGGAGCAATAATTCTATGTTGGGTGACTTTGAAATTTTCCTGTGATGCATGTGAATGAGGACAAAACATGCTACAACGACTCGTGTTGGTCTATAGAGATAGTAAACATGCTACAATGACTCATGTTGGTCTATAGAGATAGTAAACATGCTAGAACGACTCGTGTTGGTCTATGAGGAGAGTCTTCACTCGAGAATACCAAAGCCATCGAGTGTCAAATCTGGATTTCGAATTCTAATCCAAACGGGTCGTTTTACATCCCGAAAACTTTTGATCATTGGCCCTTCCAGCCGAATAAATGAAGTGGTTGGTTGATGAATGGAGATGAACCCTAATTTAAAATAAATGGTTGCCTTTCTGGCATGACCAAGTGGAGAGACATGATAGGACCTCTTACCCACATCAACCCATTTGAGTACAACAAAATCATTGGGGCCTCATTTTTCACTTTCCAATTTGGAAAATTGGCTTGTTTTCTAAATTACCCATTACCCATTTCCATTAACTTCGAATCAAATTTTGTGAGGATTGGAACGAGCGTTCGAGTAAGTTATGTTCGGAGAATCGCTATGAATCTTCGAATCGGAAAAGATTACTCAAACTGGTTGTTTAGATTGCTCGATAATGTCTAACCTAACCAACACAACGCAGACGTTGATTAACGAGAATTGAAAAAGTAGTAATACAACGTAAAACACAAATAAGGAAATCGAGCATAAGAAGTCAATATGGACAAAAACAAATAAGGTAGGCAATAATAGATGAGTAACAAGGCCAAGCATTGTCATTCATATGTCTGTTCTTTTGTTACTATTTGATTTGTGAAGTATGGGTTTGTAACGCTAAAAGTTAAATTGTTGGCCTCCATCAATAGTAGCTTCTGACAAACTATGTTTTGATCATTGTAATAATGCCCAAATTCTATATTGTTCATGTTCCCGAACGTGTTGATTCCACATCGGTTGGAGAGGAAAACAAATCATTTCTCCCAGATCCACCGCTATCAGATATTGACCTCTTTGGGTTTTCTACTACTTTATAAAGGGTGTTTCGTTCTTCTCTCGAACCAATGTGGGATATCATAATACACCCGCTTCAGGGCCCAACGTCCTCGTTGACACTTGTTCCTTTCTTCAATCGACCCCTATTCGGGACCTAGCGTCCTTACTGGCACACCGCCTCGTGTTTATCCTCATTCGGGGAACAACCTCCTCGCTAACACATAGTCTGGTGTCTGTCTCTGATACCATTTGTAAATTGTGATATCCTACATTGGTTGGGAAGGAGAACGAAACACACTTTATAAGGGTATGAAAACCTTTCCCCTAGCATACGTGTTTTAAAGTCTTGAGGGAAAGCGTGAAAGAGAAAGTCCAAAGAGAATAATATCAGCTAGCATTGAGTTTGGACCATTATAATTTGCTAGTGGTGGACTTGAGTTGTTATGGGTTGGTTGAATGGTACCACGAGCTTAAAGAGCGATAAGAGAACTGAGAGAGACCTGTTAAGGGATGTAGATTGTGCAGTGCATTATTTTTTCAAACTAGTAACCCTAATTGACCATTGACTCGGTCGACTCTCGTTTTACCGTCATTAAAGCTCAAATTTTGTTCTTGACCTTAATTCGACGAGCTCAACATGCCCGATCAACATAAGTTGACCAAACGTGCATTCAACGAGGATTTCGTTTCAATTTTTTCCGTTTCCTTTCATAATTGGTAGATGAGTTAAATGTAGGTTATGTTTAGAGAAGGAATCAAATATAAAGTGGGCTCGTACAAAAGGTGACAAATATATATAAAGATGAAGAACAAAATCATTATGAAAAACATTGGATGTTATGAAAAATGTGAAATATTCTTCTAAGGCCCCCCCTTGCCTACCTTTTTTGCTCACAACTTTTTGCACAGTGTATCTCGTCCGACCCAAAATTATTCCATTCCTATCCCGAGCTTCAACCCGCGTTACATGTGACTCAATATGAGAGAATATGGTAGGGCTCGGTATAGTCACGTTCGATTCCTGAGGTTAAAGTATTTTCTATTAGAAACCTATTCAAATCAGAATTAAACTAGTCGATTCTCTTTTACTGATTTGCCAAACATTGGGATTGTTTGAAATTTGTCAAATCGAAAGTCTTTATGAGACGGTCCATAAATCTCGAGAGTCGAGTATGGGCTCTTCGAGCAGATACCATTCCAATGGAGAAGCTCGTCTTTCCATTACCAACCGAGAATTTAAAGACTCCAAACTATTTATGGCCTTATCCAATAGAGTTACATATTGATAGCCCAAAGCCCATATGAAGTACATCCATCATAGGCTAAATGTTTTTTTTTAATATTAAAATTTCAATTTCTTTTAGAATTATCACGTCATAAATGCTTAATTTAAATAAAACATTTTAAAATATTAAATTTCTATTATTACATGTCGTACTCACTCTCGAGTACTCACCAACAACTGAGTCAGTTAACTCAATTTTGGGTCGTTGACACAAACAAGATGTATCTTTCTTTTCAGTGATTCAATCATAAAAATCTAAAATTAAGCGTATTTCTTAACCATCGAAAAATTCCGAGGTCATTCGACGCCGAATATTATTTTTCGGTGGTAAATTTTTTTAATTTTTTAATTTATTTTGAAGAATGGAATAAATTAGATATTTTAAAGGTTTGATTTGACAATAGAAATGGGAATATATACTCTCATTTTGCAAATAAATAAAATATATTATTATTTTAATTGATATATTGCTTTTGAGAAAAAGCAAGGCCAAAAGTGAAACACTTCTTTTATAAGATTTCTTTTTTTAATTATTTTTTTTATTGTGATTTAGATTTTTTTAATTATTTTTATGGTTTAATAAATAGTCTCAAAATGTTTTTGAATTATTTTAAATTTCTTAAAAATATCTTTTTTTTATTTTATTTTTTTAATAGAAAAGATTTGAATTTATTACTCTTAAAAAATATATTAATACGTTTATAATTATATTACTTAAAGAAAAGAAGAAGAAAAATAGGAAAAAATATGGGGAAGAAATTAAATAAAAATTCAATTTTCTCTACTATTTACTACAATCACTGAGCTCAAGTCTAGGCTATTATCATCACCGATCAACTCAATTTGTCGGGATTTCAAATAATGCTCGAACAAAACATCTCTACGGGTACGAACCCTTTTCATGAAAATTAAAAACAAGACGATAGAATAATGGAGTTAGTCATGCCAACAGAGGAGCATTACGATGCAGCTTCGAATAATGTAAAGCCTTTCTTTTTGCTCTCTAATATATCTTTTGAAAGATGATCGGGATCTCCACGAAACCTTCTTGTTCTTCCTGTCTTCCATGGTGGCGTTTGCAACAACTCTAGTGGTACGAACCCTTTTCACTAAATTTAAAAACAAATCAACATGAACATTGGAGTCAGTCGTGCCAACAGAGGAGCATTACGATGCAGCTTCGAATAATGTAAAGTCTTCCTTTTTGTTCTCTAATATAGCTTCCGAAAGACGATCGTGATCTCCACAAAACCTTCTTGTTCTTGTTCTTGTTCTTGTTCTTTCTATCTCCCATGGTGGCGCATGCAATAACTCTAGTGGTACGAACCGTGTTGTTCACTTTGTATGACGAGTACTAAGGGGCGTGCAGTTATATAGAGAAGGGAATCCAGGTCTCTCTCTCTTGGGTTTGAAAAACAGCATTTATTTGGGGATTCAAACACCAAGAAAGTTGGTCGACCCATCGACGATATTAAAATTTGAAGAAGAAAGAATGGTTTTGGGATTTGAGAAGCCATTTTGGTTCTTGGGAGAGCTGAAGAGATGCTTCCTTGTTCTTTCCTTTTGGTGTAGTTTTAGGTTTAGATTTGGGGAATTCATTCACCCTCATATTATTCCAATGAATCTTTGGATTAAAGAAAAAAAATTTGGTGCTTTTCGAATATTAGTGAGAAATAAAGTCATTTCGATTTTATATTTTCTGTAGTTAAAAAAAAAAAGCGTTTTTGGGTATCAGTGTTTTCGGTTCGTATCACGTGTTTCAAAATGTTACTGTTTTATCTCTAAATCTTGAGTTTAATTTTTGTTTGATTAGTATTTTTCGGCACCATGGTAAGAAACGTTCAATTTGTGTATTTTTTGACAAGTATGATAGGCTATTTTCATTGAAATTCAAGTCTCGCTACTGGATTTTTCGAAACTGCCCTAAAATATAAATAGGAAGTTAGCTAAGAGCAAACCATTTTTGGACGTTGGTTGCCGATTATATGTATCGGTCGAACGAAAATTGGCCAAGAACGAAACCATTTTTACTGTCAAAATCATCGAATTTGAACATTGACTTAGTTTTTTCTTTAGAAGAGAAATATCGAGGAATTAAATAAATAAAATAAATATATTAAATAAAAAACAAATGGAATTTAATTATTATTTTTTTCTTTTTTTGAGAAAAAAGAGATTCATTTCATCTGCATATGAATTTCGTTTATCCAAATTCCATTTTTTTTTATATATTGGAAGAATATATATATTCTAATTATCAATTATTATTATTATTATTATTATTTTGTAAACAATATTCTTCAAAAATACGTATCAAATCTTGAAAAATCAACTAAATAAATAAATAATTTTGTTCAAGAAGACAGAGAATTAAAGGTTCCAGGAAGGTGTGGGTACAAAGACAAAGGACAAATAAAATGAACAGACAAACAACCTAAAATAAACAAAAACATTATCCTTACCAAATTATTATTTAAAATCATAATATAATATAATGTTACAAACCTTATACTATGTCACACCATTTTAGCTTAATCCTCGACATAATCCCACATTTAATGTTTCGTATATTTATCTTTACACATAAAATAAATAAATAAATGAATTGATCACACAAATAATCTGTAAACTTTAATAAATTTTGATCGATATTATTTGTTTGTTGCATTGCAGAATTTGACCTTTTATTAGTAGGTTTGGTAGCGAATTGGCCCTGTATCCTTCTGCTTCATGTCGATAAGCTTACGAGCGGCCACATAAAAATTATCGTCCACTCATGAAATGAATATAATTGATAAATATTACGATTATGCCCTTCTTGTGACCAAAATCTTCATTGTCGAGACGAAAATTGTTTATCTACCGCTCTATCATCTCGAGCTTCCATTTCTCTCTTCTCTAATACTTTTCTAATTATTATTTTAATGAAAAGTATGGTAATTTCTAATCATGCACGTGACAGCCACGTGAAGGGCAAGGTAAGTGCCCTTGACATACTGGACAAGGCCTTGGTTTTCGTTTCGACATGTCGTTTTCTGGTTCCCTATATTCTTCCAACCCTCAAAACGAAGTCGTTTCTTTGTTTAAACTAAAAGATAAATAAATAAATAAATAAAACTCTAAATAATTACCATATCTTTGTCTTGGATTAATCAAAGATTTTGTGAGCATTAAACAAAAAAAAAATGCTAATTAGTCAGTACACTGAATTGGGTTTCTTCTCATTTCCAAAAATATAAAAAAATTTAAGATATTTAACGGATTTAATTCATATTTTTCATCGTTAATTAGTTAAAATTAAATAATAAAAATTGGTAAAATGACATTTGAAACGACTTATAATAATATTTTTTAAAATAGATCCAATAGTACCAATTTAAACACAAGTCAAAGTTTCATTTTTAAAAGAGAATGAAAAATGGGCTTAAAACCAAGGCCCAATGGGAAATTTGATATATTGGTCAGCCCAAGTTCAGTCCATTAACATTGTAAAAGGTGGGCTTGTCCATGTTTAACCCAGGCCCAATAGGAAATTTATATATGGGCCAGCCCAAGTTCAGCCCAGTTCAGTCTCGCATATTTGCACTCTAATTTCTTGTGTTAAGCTTGAATGAAATATAATGTTTACTAATTACATAAACACATGAACTAAAAAGCTCCTTTCTTCTAGCTTGAGCTTGGGGAACCCTAGTGCCATTTCCATAACCATAATAATAAGCTCGGATGCATGAAATCTAGTGAACACTTCGGATTCTGATGCGAGTATGTTATTGATTAGTAATCAATATAAACAGATACTAATATAACCACTATCAATCCCAGAATGGCTCAACAAAAATGACACCGATTACCATCACAGACGTTTTAAGTTCAGTCTCCATACACATTTTGGAATTTATAACCTAAGATAGTTCAACGACCTTTCCAACCAAATACAAACAAGGATTGTTGTGTCTACCTGAAAATAGAGGTATAATCTCAATCAAGGGATCAAAAAGTTTGAATCGAGAACTAATCTGGTGTGCTTGGATGCACGAAATCTAGTAAGCACTTACGATTTTGATTCGAGTACGTTATTTGATCAATAAACAATGCACATAGACACTAATATGACTAACTATCAATCCGTGAATTGCTCGATGGGCATGACACCAATTACCATCACAAAAGTTCAATATTCCCATAGATAATCTCGATCAAAAGTTAGAAGTTCAAATCAAGAACTAACCCAGATCCTCAATGGTTAAATAACTTGCATTTTGAATTAGTTTAAGCTCCATTGCTCAAAAAAGTTTCTGAAGTTTTATTGCTATCTTCCTCTGGTTTTCTAATTGTGCCCAACAGAATCAGTCTGTGTAAAACAAGTACACAGATAAAACAAACCTGCATTTAACTCCACCGTCATGGCCGGCCGGCCATGGAAGCAGAGCTTCAATGGACGATATCCTTTGAATTACCAGTAACCATGACCAATCCATGTCCCTGAACTCCATATTTCTCCACTAGCTTCGCCAATTTCGCATGCTTGCTGCACCATGATTCCACCAGTTTTGCCTCTTTGCTATCTGCGTCTCTTTGCAGGGCACTCAACTGCTCTCTGTAATCGCTCTCGATTCTCCCTAAATACGCCGATTCTTCCTCTCTTAACCTCTGAATCTTTGCTTCCATCTCCTCCATTTTTTCTCTCTTCTTCCTTGCTTTCTCCGACTCCAGCTGCTTCTCTAATCGGTTCAATCGCCATGTCGCCTCTTTCTTGTGTTGGACCCAACTCTGCCGTCCTTCTTCCAGATCCTTGCAGTACTGGACTAAGGCTCCCATCTGTTGAACTGGTAAGATCCGGTTCACTTCCGTTTCGTTAATTGCTGGTTCGGAGGGAGATAGCGTGAGGCTCACCGATGGCGATGGCGTGGTCGACACGGTGGAAGAGGAGGCGGTGCTGGTGGAGTTCGCGTTCATCCAGAGAGGAAGGACGGTGGGAGATGACGTGGTAGAACTGACCGATCCGAGCGAGAGGACCGGATCGGCTTCGGGGACGGAAAGACGAGGCGGAGGAGGAGGAGGAGGAGGAGATTGAAACGCTGCGGCGTAGATCTTGGGCTGGACGTACTTCTCGGCAAAGGTCTCTAAGATGTGGTCGTAAGGACCTTGAACCGCCTTCTCCGGAGAGGAAACACCGACAATCGGAATATTCCCGTCGGAGTTTTGGTAATCGTGCCTCTGCGTTAAGTTCTGCGTCTTCTGCAACTGCTTAAGTTGCTTCTCTTTAAAAACCTCCCACCACTTGCCGAGGCGTTTGGCCGTACGGCCGGGGACCTCGGCAGCGATCTTCTTCCACTTGTTGCCGTACTTGGCCTGAAGAGAGATGACGAGAGTCTGCTCGTCGGGAGAGAGCGAGCCTTTCTTCAAGCCAGGTTTGAGGTAATTCTTCCAGCGCTCGAGGCAGGATTTTGGATCGCGATGAAGAGGCTTCCCCATGCGCTGAGAGATGAGATTCCATTCTTTAGGGCCATATTGCTTGACGTAGGCTCGAAGGAGTGCGTCTTCTTCCGGCTGCCAACGCTGGCGGTCCTTCATTACATCGCCACCATTGCTGTCGGTAGAAATAAGCTCAAAATTGATCGGAGGAAGAAGGAGAAGGAGGAGAAAATGGTGGAATCGAGCTCATTGTAGAGAGAGAGAGAGAGAGAGAGATTGTTTGTGAAGTCTGAGAGATGGGAGCAGGAAGAGATGATGATGTTGATGAAACGTACTGTTGTTATTATGGAGCTCCGATGCTCTGAATTCTGTTTCAGATCACGCGCCTTTCCCCATTTTCACGCGCCTCTATGTGACAAATAAACCTTTATTGGACTTTTTTGCCCCTGAATTTATAATTTGCATCAACTTTCCATTTTAATTTTATCTAATTTTAATTCTAATTTTAAACTAATTTTGTTTATGAGTGGAATAAATTATAAAATTACGAAACTACCCCATAGAAGCTTCTCGATATGGTTTTCAATCCATTACGAGTCCAGTCGTGAATCAATGTAGGACATTATCAAATCGTACCTTTTGATGAGAGACATAAACCGACTTCAACGAAAATAGTTTTTTCTAAATTATATGAATCCACTGAACAAATAGTAAGTCGATGGGTATTTGAATCCGAGCATCCAGAAAAAAAAGTATAATATTTGATGGAATAACCGGAAATCTTTTTAAATAACGTGTTATAATCGGAAAGCTTTATATTTTGAAACGAATTCATCATCAGGTTGATGATAAAAATAAATAAATATATAATGCATGGGCGTTTCAGTGGACAACGAATTTATTAAATATAAAATTATAACTTATTAATACTAAAAAATAATGTCTTTTAATTTTAAAAGCGTTTCAAAAATACATTTAAATTTTATATAATTTCTTTTAAATCTTGAAAAATTTTAAAATTTTAAGAATATTAAGGGAATAATTCATTAATATCCTTAAAAATTTTAGATTAAAATTAAATATTTGAAAATACTTAATTTGTTGTTATCTTAAAAGTAAATATTTGAACCTGACCGGACTAGACTCAATCCAATCCAATCCAATCCAAGTAAATTTATAATCAACTCAAATCATAAGTTAGGTTGTTTCGACTCGTCTAATTTAACCTAATTCAAATCATAGACTGCAAATTGAGGGAGTGTAAGGTCGAAGCAGTAGTAGTAGAGGTAGGGGGTGGTGTCAGAGGAGGGTGGTGCGTGAATGAGTTGGTTTATGATTTTGGAGCAGTGTGTTGTGTGGCAGCGCTTACACATACATAAATTTTATTTACTCTGGCTCGTTATATGTTACCGTTAATCTCACAGTTTTAAATTACGTATAGTTGACGTCGATATATAACATGCTAAAACAGTTAATATATATTAGAGTGGGTTTTGATGTTACAAATGGTATCAAAACCGGTCGCCGAACAAGGTGAGATACTGGTTGGAGTAGAGCTATACCCTCTCCATAGTAAACGAGTTTTAAAACTATGAGATTGGCATCGATACGCAATATGCTAAAACAGACTACATATACTAACACCGAATTTGGGCCGTCACAAATACTAATAAATAACAAACCGCTATATATTTTTTTAATTATTGTAAGATGCATAATTGTATTTTAAATTTGTTTTAAAAAAAAGTTAATGAATTTATGAAATTTTTTAAAAAAATTAAGCTAATAATTTTTATCTAAAGCTATGGGCAAAAATATGTTGAGACACTTTAAATTTTAATTTTTTTTTTTTAAATTACATTTTTTTTTAGAGGAAGATATTTTATTAATTTAAAAAAATTCAGAAAAAAGGCATTTCTCGGACGTGCGTGATAAAGCGTGAAAAGTCAGTCCACAGTCCGTCCGCAGTGGTAGACTTGCTTTTAGACTAAACCCTAAACCCTTACCCTTCCTTTTTACGGCGATGATGGTTAGCGACGGCGATGATGGGATAGGTTTGAAATTGATGAAATGTGCTGCGATTGAATGCTGCAAACCCATTTGGTCAATTAGCATTTCGGTTGGGGTTTTGATCTTGGGGGAGGATAATGGTATTAGGGTTGTCAATTTGAGGCGTTTTGTGAGAGGGCGTGGTCGAAGCATGAAGTTCGTAAGCCATTTTTGCCCCTTGGAGAAGCTTCTGGAGCTTCTGGAGGCACTGACTTGAATGGTGGCTCTCTCGTTGTTGGCAACAATGGATGCTTGGACGGAAAATTGGACAAACATTCTATTTCTGGTAAGCTAAGGGAGTTTTATAACTTTTGTTTATTTGATATCTTCATAGTTTTTACAGTAAGAATGATACAAAAACACGTATTTTATACCTAGATTTTACTTATATTGGCTGTGTTTCCTGTTATTTGGAACTTTTAATCATGATTCTAGTCCTGGGAGACTTCGTTTAATACTATGCGTTTGGTGTACCGTCTTTGCACGCTGAATAGTTTTGTTTTCGACCGAAGCAAGTGGACATTGGAACTTTGAGTCCTTCAATCTCTTAGCCACTTGAAATGTAACATTGATGGTTAATGGATTGCTGTCAATGAATCGAGTCCTACCTGATCTGTGTGATATCCCACATTGGTTGGGGAGGAGAACGAAACACCCTTTATAAGGGTGTGGAAACCTCTTTCTAGCAGACGTGTTTTAAAGCAAGGATGTTGGGCCTTGAAAAGAGATGGATTGTGATATCCCACCTCGGTTGAGGAGGAGAACAAATCACCCTTTTAAGGGTGTGGAAATCTCTTCCTAGCAGACACGTTTTAAAAACCTTGAGGGGAAGCCCAAAAGGGAAAGCTCAAAGAGGACAATATCTGCTTGCGGTGGGCATGGGCCGTTACATACAGTTAAGTGAGTTTTTGTTGTGATCCCTTTAGTGTGTGCTTCGACAGGATTTCTTACATTACGGTGGGAGTAGTTTTCTCCACGAGGACAACGTTCGGTTACCATGGTGTTTTCTTCCCTCGTTAACAATATTCATTTCTGTTAATCAGGAAGCTTATCTGCCTATACAGTTTTCTGAAGTTTCATCAGGGACGTTTTCCCGGTAAACAGCTTCTAGTCTACTTGCAAGGACACCCTGCCTCATGCACGAACTAGAATGTTCACTTTTATTCTTGGTTATTTGCAGGACATTTTCGTTCAAGGCTCTGTTAGATGATCCCGTCCAGAGTCGTGGCTTATCGGCTTCATGTTCTGCTTGAGTAAGAAACCTAGCTGTACTACAGGTTAATTATATGGACATATCTGTGATCAGATCCTTGCAATGTGGTCTCTAATTATTGCGTTACAGTAAGTTGATACCAACGAAGTCAAAAACTGCAGTTTTCTCATACATCCATGGTGCATAAGATTTGAGAAGGCTCAGCTCTAAATAGGTGTGTTGTTTTTACTATTATCCTTTTTTCTATTGTTGAGAAATTGATGTTGCAGGTTTGAAATACGAAAAACGCTTCAAACATCCTTCCTGTCTTGCAGGTTTGAAATACAAATTGATTTTGGCGTGTTCCTTTGGGAATGGGTTTCTAAATACCCAGAAGAAATATTTCAGGAATTACTAAATATGGGTCTATAGAGATGCATTCAATCCTCAAAAAAGAGAATTTGGTTGAGTTTCGAGGAGTCAAAGACTTAGTGTCGGACGACATGGGTGTGCTAACATTGTGCCTCCACCTTTGAGGCGGAGGTTGATATATGGGGTCGCTCTCCGGTACGATATCTAAGAATGAGTCGCCAAGGACACGGAAGGGTTCGTATCTCAATTGTACCCAGATGGATGGATGTTTGGAATGCTTGATTATAAAGTTGATTCATGGGTTGGTTCTCATTAAGTGTGCCCCAGCGAGCAGTGAAGGCTGATGACATCTTGGAACTTGGGTTGGCATCATGAAATGTGTGGGCTATGTTATTGAGAGTCAAGATGACTAAGATGAGATGCGACGTTGCATTTGAAGGACCTTGACTTTGAAAAGGAGAAAGGTTAAGCCTTAGGACTTAGCCTAGAGTAAAGGCAAGTCAACTAGAGTTGCTATCGAGTGAACATGCACGCATGAGCGATGTGTATGCCTGAACCAAGCATAGTTTCCGCATGAGTTGTGTTTGGTCAAAGAAGGAAAACCACCTCACCTAAGGTCCGACAAAACTGCAAAACTAAGCAAAAATTATAAGAGAGCCCGAGTTCCCCTTATTAAGACTCGTCATGATTGTGTCAGAATCATAACGCCTCACGGTTTATAAAGTATGATCACGACACAAAACACAATCATATCATGTGGAGTTGAGTTTACTTGTGCAATCTAGTGCGAGTTCTTTGGTTCTTTACTTTTTCTGCTTTAATTCCATAGTATCTTCGTTATTTTGCATCGACGGTACATAACATGCTCGAGCTGTCTATCGTTACGAACGTTCTCGCTACTCAGTTTTCTGTTCAAGAATGGATCTATTTTCCTTAGAGAGATTATCAGAGATATTGTTATTTGTCTTACTGAGATTTGTGGTATATGGCATAGGACCTTTGCTGTGCTTCCATGGCCTTGCATCCATGAGCTGCAAGACAAGCTCGGGGCTGAGAAACGAGCATGCTAGCTGTTGGTTAGAGTAGCAGAAAGAATACGGTATGCTTCTGATCTGCTATCATGAAAGATATACTCGTGCTTGGCCAATCTTCTCTGTTCAATTTTGCGTCGGGATGATGCCCTTCGTAACTGATTTTGAACGATCTCATGATTGTTTTTAGTTTGATAGTGAAGTAGATGTTAATTTTATAGCATGTTTAACTTCGAATAACTATCGTAGTTTGGTTTAGTGGCATCAACTAAAGAGTGGTCGTTTACTTGAGATATCAAACTCCTATGAGTTACTTAACGAGTATCGTAAGGTCTAATGATTCTTTCACTAGATTCACCTAACGAAAGAACAAGAGCTTTGTTTTTTAAGAGCTCGTTCCTTAGTCACATGTTGGGCCGAGAAAGTGTCCTATTTCCAACATCTCTTACCATTACTACAATTTGATCATTAGGACTCATACGTCGTGTTCCGACTTCCGATAAGACAGCGACAATGGCGATAAAAGAGAATCTAAGATATGAAAGGGGACAAAACGAGGCATTTAAAGGTGGGTTTTGAGGGAAAGTTTTTGATTAATTGATAACCAAAAGTAGGAGAAAGAATGATATAAATAGTCATAAAAAAACATCATCTCTCAGTTCATATCAGATAAAAAAGAAATGGATGGTTGTGATGAGTCGTACTTCCATAATTGGAACCAACCAAATTCTCCCTTCACTTTCATTACAATGTTGATAGCTTCCATCACATGACCACATGCCATACTCTCTCTCGTGTCCACCCCTTTCTACTCGTACAACTCTAAGAAAACTACCTAACACTTCATCGTATCTCTTCGAGGATTGCGATTAGACCTAATGAAAATATTATTTGTATATACTCTTATTTTTTAACCGTCAGGATTGTATTCAAAGTATTCAAATCGGTAACTTGAATATTAGAGACGACTCTAACGCTTATTTAAAGTGGTAAGTTTTGAATATTGAATGTTTGCTCGTTTAAGCAGTTTTTATCGGATAAGATAGGTAACACAAGTTTGTTTGTTTACTTGGAGTTTTTGTGTAAGATTTTGCTCATGTGAAGATATCTTTTTTAAATGTTTAGGAAATTGGGATCGTTATTCAATTTGTGATGTTTATATAGTTCATGTAAAGTTTTTACTGCATCCCTAATAAAGATCTTATATCGATTGGAGAGAGAAATGATATATTTTACTGCATCCCTAATAAAGATCTTATATCGATTGGAGAGAGGAATGATATATTCCTTATAAAAGTGTTAAAACCTTCCCCTGATAGACGTGTTTTAAAACTGTGAGGCTGATGGTAATACGTAACAGGCTAAAATATATAACATCACATGCGAATTTTTATGAGATTGACAGTGATACATAACAGACTAAAGTGAACAATATTCGATAAGTTATCTATAAAATTTTCTATAAATATATATATGTATTAACATTTTGATTTCAAAATCATTTTGCCAACAAAATATTATCATTTCATTTTTTATTTATTTTTATTATAATTATCTTCTATGGACGAAATTCCTTGTATTACAATGATATATGTATTCTTCACGTTACTTCAATTCATTATTTTATTTAGTGGATCCCACTTTAACATCAAATGATTGTAACATGACAAAAATTATTATTGACAATATTATAAAAAAGTTCATAATACAATATTAGAAATATTTCGTCCTTCCAACTTGGATATAGCAATGCAAGAGTGCTATACGATATCATTGGTTAGTTATGAAATTGACTCGTTAGAACCATATAAATCGATATTCAGATCTTTCATTAACAACATAAAGAAATAAAGAAAAAAAAAAAAAACTCCTACCGTATATTAATTGGTAGAGCTCCATTCTTGGTCGTTGAGTCTTATCTATCAAATCATTTAGAGAGTAAATCAACGACATTATAACACTATTTCACAATAACAGCATAACATGGTACAATTATATGATTCGACATTCGAAAAAATCAAGGCTACTCAACCCAAATGGTAACAATTGAGTTAGGTTACATATTTTTTGGGTTTGAGATCGTGTTGTGGCAAAATTATCTCACCTCTTTTAGCTCCTCAAAATATATATATATAAATATTGGCATTTGCTGATGTGGCAAACAGAAAATAAAATGATTTAATTTAAATTTGAAAAAAATAGTGGGAAATTGGCAAAGCACATGCAAGAGGTATTTTAGTAGAAGTAGGGACATTGAAAAGTTTGAATGTCTGATAAAATTTGTTAAGCTCAAAATTCCATTTCCATGGAGCAACCTACATTCATCTCTCACCGGCGAGATGAACCGGAGTTCAGCCTCCGTGAATGGGCGGCGAAGGCCAAACTTAACCACAACCCCACCATTTCCCGGCGATTCTCCGGCTCCTACATCAGAAGCTTTCGAGAAGACGCCAGGTCGTTTCGATCAAACATCACCAGCACCGCCTCCTCTCCCGGCTACCCTTTCGGAGGTTTTTGTTCTTCTTTTTCTCTCTCTGTGGAATTTTGTTTCCGGCCATGGATTCTTCTTTAACTTCTCTGAGTTTCGTTTTACAGACGAAATTGACCCAGCTACGTATTCGTTTACTAACGCCATCAAGGGTGAGTTCAATTGAATTCGGATTTTGAATTGCCTACGAAGTGTTTGTGAAAATGACTCTGAGGGAATTGGTTGGTGTTTATGGGCGCTGCTTTTTGTGCAGCGCTGCAAGCCAGGTCGCTTAACAGTTGGGAATGTTTTTCCCTCGATGGGTTTACTTTGAATTCGAAGTGGAATGAAGCCGAGAAGTATATATGTAATCCACTTTCTGGGGAAGTTCCTATGGAGTGTTTGTCTGCAAAATCACTTAGTGGGAGGTCGTTTAGGAACTTAGCCAACAGAATTGCAGTCTCTGCTCCTTTAGTTTACTCAAATCATCCACAACAGATTCAAACAAAGCCATGTTCCATCACACAAGTAGTTCAGAAACTCCCAATTTCAGGTTGGATCATCTGTCTTCTCCTTTATACTTCTAGTTTGTTCTTGTTGGGGTTGGAGGATTTTGAATGAATTCTCTGGTTGTGATTTTCAGATAAGAAAGTGGATGCCAATGCTATGACTAGAGATGTGGGAACTCAAAGCACACCACCAAACGTTGGTTCATCTAGTCCTAGTCCTGCTTCCACGCCTCCCATCGTGGATAGAGCATTAAAGAGATGCGAATTGGAAGAAAACTCTCCCAGTTCCAATTCTAAGGTTACTCCCGAGACAGAGGTATGGCAAATCCAATCTTTCATAGGCTAGTTTGATTTCAAGAAGGTCTACATCAGAGCTAATTGGTAGTTGGGAATTCTTAAATCATCCCTAAGCTAATAATTCCCCATTAAATCCAAACAATTAAGTGGATGAGTTATGATGAATAGAATATAACAAGTGTGAATCATTATTAATCAGAGAAGAAATGGCATTGAAGGAGTTTACAAAAGCTGGATTTGATGGAGATCTTACAGGAAAATTGATGTTGATTTGTTGGAATGAATTTGATATGATTCTGTTTTAGAGAACATTTAGAACAATTTGCTGGTGATCCCAGCATATGATCTGCCATTCTTCATAGCTTGGGGAGAAAAGCTTCTGAGCCTGTGAAGTTAATGCAAAGTTTAAATGTTAGACTAAGCATCACAGAATAGAATCTAAGAAAAGAAGGAAACAAGTGGAGCATAAGTGAAGTTCAGCTTTCTCAGACATAAAAGCTTTGTCTGCAATCTATTCTATCCCTCCCAAACAGCCCCACTAAGGATGAGGCAACCAAATCTGATTGTCCCGATACATGTCATAAAACAGAGTACTATACCCATCCAAGGTGGGGGACTGTTTTGGCTAGCCATAAGTTGATACAATTTTGGTCCCTTTTTGATATTTCTTCTCTCACATTGGCCTACTTTCCAGCTCATACAGTTGTGACTGTCTCTGCATTGTAGAAACTTATTTTTTTTTGAAATTAAAGTCATAATATTCATGTCAGAAAACCCTGCCTTGAACTTTCAGAAGGAAGAGAAAATTCAAGTCATGGTGTTCTCTCAACACTTAAATTAGTGCATAAATTTCAAATTTCCCTCCTTCAACTCTGTATTTGTTTTTTTCCATTCCTCTCTATCTATTTCATTTTCCTTTCTTTTACCTTAGTGGAGCCCATCGAGATTTTCCCTTACATACATGTTCCTTTGTTTTTCATCAAGAATCTCCTCTCTATCTCTGTATATTTCTCGAGATTCTCATTGAAAAGGCATCTGCAGATCTTCTTTTCCCTTCTTTCTGAAAGTTGTGGCCATGTATGTTCCCTTTTTAGTCGATTGAGCAACAATAAGTTGCTGAATCGTTGCTTCCTCAACCATTAAAACCATCAATAAATGGGCAGTGTTGAAACTTGTATTTTCTGCTAAGATCAAGGGAAATTTGTTGTTGCAAACTCTTGACTGTTCGTGGAAAAATTAGAGGTTAATAATCCATCATTCCTCCTGTAATTCTCAAAGATCTCATTACTTAAACTTATGTGGACAAGTCGAAATAAGAAGTTCCAAAAAGTGCAATCTGAATTATTACCAAGCTCAAATAATTTCAAGAAGGGGCCACCTAGGTATTTCCTGAATGAACATCCAGGCTTTAGAAAGCTTTTAAATGACACTGATATAAAGCAACTTGATCTAAACGCAGGTGATAAAAAGAGAAATGGAAGAGGAGAGAGCAAAAGAAAAGGTACATAGAGAAATAATGGCAGAAGAAAAGTGCAAGCAAGGGGGATGCTTGTCATGGATGAAGAGGAAGCAGAAAGAGGAGCAGAGATCAAGAAGAAAGAGGTTCCTTTCTCATCTGAAACTAAAAGGGTGCTGAAGGAGAAGAGTGTTGAAATGGTGAAGAACAAAACATGGAAAATGAGGGAGGTGGGGTTGTAGAGAAGATTGCTCTGTAAACAAAGATTTGGTTTATTAATGCAAAATGGAAGAGAAAGGGCAGGTGGGGAATGTGGGATTGTATGGGTATCATAAAGGTTGGCTTTGTGGGTTGTGGTCCTATTTGCCTTGCTCCTCAACCACTTCAATTTGTTCTTTGTCATGGTGAAAGCAGGCCAACAGCTTAGACTTCACGTGCTTGCCTTTGTCTTTGTGTTCTGAATTGTAGGGTAGGGCTCTTAAGGGCTTCTCCCTTCTGTTTTCAACTTTTAAATCTCTCTCTCTCTCACACACACACACACACACATACTGTATTCAACAAAAATCTTAGAGACCACCTATTTTTAAAAATTTGACATTGTTAGAGCATATTTATGGAGAATTCGGAAACAACTAATCCGAACACAGCAAGAATGTTTTTAGACACTTAAAAATGTAACAAACCTCTTGTCAAACCAAAGGGGCTTTGCCATGGTGGTGAGAGAGACAGAGAGCGCTGAACCAAGTCATCATGGAGTCAATTGCTGAAATCCCCACGACTAAGAACCTACAATAATGTTAAAAATCACAGAAACCAAAGCATGTATAGTGAAAATACAGCCAGAGAGCTTGGAAAGAATGGGAAAGTTCAGAGAGTAACAAACCACAAGCTGCTCTCTTCTGCAGCAATGGCGACGCCCATTTTCTTTCATATTAAAATTGAGATACACTATCTGAAGAACAGAGATTCATGAATATGAAGAAACATTCAAACTTAATTTCATTAACACACCTACACTACAATACAGCGTCTCAAAACTCTTCCCCCTCACAAAAAGAGATGGGGGATGAAATGGAGCTTCACAAAACGAAGCCTTTCAAGTATTCAGGATCACGCTTGGCTTTCTCCTGAAACTTCTTGAACCATCTGTCCAAGATATCCATCGGCACAACCAACTTTGAACCAACAACACCGCAGAAAGATTGCATGAAGTTGAAGAGATTCTCACCAACTTTTAGGGCTAGACGCTCAATTCGTTTATCCGCCGTGACATCAAGCGATTGCAGGGAAGCCAAATCCTCCACGGAGACTCCAATTTTAGCTGAGACGGGAGCCGAATCGGCCGGCATGAGTTGCATCTGACCACTAGGCTCCGGCCATGGAAGTGTCAGCACCGCCGAAGGCCTGGCTAGGGTTACAGCACCACAGAGAAGAAACTGAGATCCAGGAGACTGAATATACACAGCTAGGGCTTTATCAGGCGGAAGAGTGAAATTATTCAATAAGAAAATGCACATTTCACGAATCTGATCGTACGCTTCACCTAATAAGACGATTAGGAATTCGAATTAGGGTTTCGAAACAGAGCAAGCTAAGAGAAGAGAAAAGGAAAATCTGAATGGAATACGTTATAGAACATACCGACGAATGTGTTCATATCGAGAACCCAATGGGAAGTGTCAATTTGAGAGAAAGCTGAAACATCCATCGGAAAGCTTCGATTGGGAAAGACGACTCCGAACATCTTCGATCCTCAAAATGTACTGTTGAGAAAGGAAACAATGAACTTGCGATCGATGAAACTGATAGAAGATTGAGAGTGAAATGCTCCGATTGAAGGTGGCCGGCCGGATTGGAAAATGCATACGATCAGCGAGTGTGGAGCATTCCAGAAGAATCTAGAAGGATTCAGAGCTTGAGTCCATTGACCTGCATGGAACTTGCCACAACTTTCTCTTCGTCTATTTGTTCTTTTTAATAAAATTTATTTTTAAATATTTAATTAAATTTTGTAACTATATATTTATAATAAAATTAAATAAATATATGTATATATAATTATATAGTAAATAAAACTAAATTCAAATCATTCTTCAAAATACAAAACTACTATACGGGCGTGTGAATATAGTCTCCTCTTGATCCTCTGTTATAATTTCTATGTGCTGATATCTCGAGTAACCATCCACAAAACAGTAGTAGTTATGTCGTGCCAGTCAAATCATCCAAAAAAACATCGATTGGAGAGGATAACAGAACATTTTTTTATAAGAGTGTAGAAACCTCTCTCTAGCAGACACATTTTAAAACCGAAGTCCTAAAGAGAAAGCCCAAAGAGAACATATCTTCTGTGGGCTTGGGGTGTTACACTTCACTATACCGATCTCAGATCAAATGGTGGCAACCTTCAACTGTAGATTTAATTATAGGTCGATATCGTGTGTAGTGAAATTGACCCGAAGAAAAGTTTAAAGTGCAATTCGTTGATGGTAGTTGGTTAAAGCTCTACACGGCCGGCATGTTTTGAACAGTAAAATGAGAAGAGAGGGAGTCATGTCCATTCTCTCTCCAAACACGTCTGATAGTAGATCGGGATGTGGAATTCCAAATTCAAATCTATTTAAAAAAAAAAAAAAATTAAATACAAGATAAGATTAGGATGTGAATTAAAAATATATGCAGAATCTAAAACAGAGAGTGCATCTCCGACCATGTCTCGCCAAGATACCAGCTCACTCATTTTGGAATCGTAATAAAGAAAATATTAAATTCCATATCAAAAACGCATAATATAACACCGTCACCTAATAAAAAAACATAAAATATTAAACAAAAAGGTGAAAAATTATAAATAAATAAATAAAATGTTAAGAGGATCATAGTAGATACCCTTGACCTTTGGAGCTTAGAAAGAACAATTACATTTTAAATTCAATCTTAATATTAAAGCATATAATATTTATTTTAAGATAGGGGCTAAGAGCTATGCCACTTATATTAATTAAATTAAACCCAATTTTGTCAATTCCATTTGTTTTTATCTCTCTCATTTTTTTTTACCCTTTTTAAAAATTTACCTTTTCTTTTTACTGCATTTTTTTAATATAAAAAGTAAATAATTTAATTTAATTACTACAAATATTTAAAATTTATAAATCAATTAAATTGCTAATAAAAAAAAATCTATTAATAGTTAAGATGATAATTAAAATAATTAAAATTAAAATCCATAGAAAAGGAAATAATTAAAATAAATAGAAATAAGGGACCACTCCCACAGTTATATAAAGCTATCTACAAACCTCATAGCTTAGGGCATCAATGGTTGAGATGGTTTACAACCTCCCTCAAAGGCTTCCAATATTCTTTACATTATTGCAAATGAGCTCGGTATCATGTACGGAGTGTTGGGAGCCCGTAAGGGAGGTTGAAAAGCTTCTCGAGTACTGTCCCGGTATGAGGGTTTGAACGAGTACAAGTGAATTCGTTTGAGTACTACTCGACACGAAAGTTCGAATTTGCAAAATACTGTTGAGGTATATTCTATTCGTTTGAAAATGAGTTTTCTCTATTCTACCGCTTGTTGAATGTTTTAGTTTGTTTGAAACTTGAGGCAATATATCCGAACACCTGTGCTTTGAATTTTACGAGATTTTTATTTTTATTGGAAGGTAATTGGAAGTTAAATTATATATGAACGAGAAAAATGAATAGTGACATTTCTACGTGTTTTTATAATTTAAAAATTAAATTAATTTGAAGTTGTTTTTTTTAATTGTCAAAGAATTTTACCATAAATTTAACTAATTAAATTTTATATAATTTTAATTCGTTAATAAGTATATTATAAATAATAATTTTTTTTTTAAGTTTTTGAGTTTATTTAGCCATCCATATTAATAATTATTCTCAAATTAATGGGCTTTGATCCATGATCCATCATGGGCCTCAAAGTAAGCCCAATAAAACATCAAATCTTTGCTCTTAAATCCAATGAATAATAAATATTTTTGACCTTTTGTTTTATTTATTTATTTTTTGTATAATTTTATTAAAATGACAATAAATCATGTATAATTTTATTAAAATAATTTAAACGTCAAATTTAAGGCATATTATTTATAATACACTTTTTAAATAATTAAAATTTAATTGGTTACAATTATTATTTATTTAGCAATTATCTAATTTTTAAATATTTTATTACGTGTATCTTATTTTTAGGTATCCTAACGAAAACGTTTAATGAAATGACCTATTAAAACTTACTTCAGAATCTAGGGTCACGAAGAAGGTTAAAAGAGAACTAGGAAATAAAAGAATAATGGAAACGGCAATTAAGAATGCCTCATAATCGAGGGGTATACGGGTTGGGTTATATTAGGTTCAAAATATTTTAGACTAAGTAGAAATTTAGGACTCGAGCAACCTAAATAGAGTTGGTAGAGTTGTAAGGTTTAGTTCAATTATAACCCTATTTTCACGTTGGTAGAGTTGACCCAACTAAAAATGTACTCGGAACCAAATTTTTGGTTTTTAAAAAAATTAACCAAATTCAAATTGGAAAAATGAGCCGAAGTCAATAGTTTGAGTTACTTAGGCTATGTTGGTCGAATTCTCAAGTCATATGAACGTCCTTAAGGTATATTTTGAATCAAATTATTCAAGATTCTTAATAATGAATTGTCAACTTGCTTGTAACATAAACGTTCCCGTCACGTTTCTAAAGAAAGAGTTGAAAGATCGGTCAAAAACGAAATCCTTCCAAACCTTGATTTTAATGATTACGGAATATTTGCAGGTTGTACGAACGAAAAACTAATAATGCTCGGATTCTCAAAACCATGTTGAACTTGATTCACGATTTTAAGTACAAATTAAGATAGATTATCGATACACACGTTACATTTTACTCCCGACCATAACCAATCCTACGAACACGTGACTTATATATATATATATATATATATATATATATATATATATATATATATATATATATAT